AAATGAAGTTTTTATATACAGAGCAAAGTTGCCTTTGCGCGTAATGCAATATTCATATCGATTTTAACCGACTGGTAAACAAAGGTTGGTAAAATAATCTGCTGCCGTGGAAATTCGATTCTTTTTCTTTGTTTTGCGCACAAGCAATAGCCGGAATTGGATCGTATATGAAAGTAACAGCGATACAGTTTGCATTTTATCACCAGAGTTTCATAACGTTCGTGTCTGTTCGCGAACGCGTCAATTCAGAAAATATCCGCGTTAAGATAAATACGTAAATACAAATATTTAAACCCGATACGAACGGACGATTGCGGAATTATTTACAATCTCTATTTTTCGCTTCGATTAAGTGAAATAACTGGCTGGGCATTTCAGCAAGAGAGAAACTGATAATTAGACACTGAATATAAGAGATTATCGTAGACTGAAAAAAATTGAGAATTCAAAAATATTGTAAATACAAATATTTTTTACAAACTTCTGTAAATTTTGAAGAATAATTTAAAAATCATATACATATTAATATGAAATATGAATATCTTTGTGCCATATCTCGAAATCCTATTAAATATAAATTATTTTCGGTATAGCTAAGGCAAAATCAATTATACTGAAATAATCATAGTCTGATTTAGCATTTAAACGCGAGATATAAAATTCGTAATTGTAGCGTACCTGGAACATTAGCGTATTCTTGAAATTGATCTCTTTAACGGGGCAAGAATATTTGGAGAATGCCACGGTGGCATTAAGTAACACTTGGATACACTTCATCGTGCCAGGTACGATTTCGTGACTCGGCTCGTTAACGGGCTCGACTGTTTTCTTGGCTATTTCCGCATTTGCCTCTTGCTCTCTGGCGTTAAAATTTATTGCCACCCACCGCACCTCTGTCTCTCGATCGTCCCAAGACGATTCTTTCGAGGGGTCGGCCAGTTCAATTGTACAGACCGTACACTCGAGACGCGTCTGTCAATCATCATTAACAAATAATTAGTTTATATATAAGTTTAATATGCAACAATACTAAATTAAGAACTGCAACTGTCGTCATACTTGACAAGAATTATAAAATCTGATCTTTTAATGAGAATTTTATTTTAACATTTTATTTTTCCTGCGAAAATTTATTTATTTATTATACAGAAATATTCTTATTATCTCAATTAAATAATGTTTTATATATTTCAAAGTATCTTGATAATGTAATTAATTAATTGAGATTTTTATATTGATATGCCTTAATTTTGAAAGAAACAATCTTTAGATTTATGCAAATTGCAAGTATTGATCGGTAATTCGCAAATTGTAAACTTGATAATTTTATATTACGTCAACGTAAATCACTGGCTCCGAAGAAAGGAATGTCGCAACAATTTCCTTGTAAGTCAGTGACTTGAGATGACCAATAGACGGAGTAAATACAATATTGGGATGTGCGCTCCATTGGAAACGCAAATATTGATTTATTGATTTATTAACGACTTTGAAGCTTTTTCTGAATATTTTATTGACAAAACAGTATCCATAATCCAGTTTATAAATCAATGAAATCGGGAGGGTTGTCGGTGTTGAAACTGTGAGACATAAATTACAGAGAATATGAATGAGCAATAAAAAATATATAAAATATACTTATTGTTAGATGAGAATTTAGAAGATAAAAAGTATCGTAAATTATATTGTTACTTTTTATAAAATGGTAAATTATAAAATGGTTCTGGAACTCACATATTGGAAATAATTTAAGATAAATACGTATAATAATGAATAAATATTTATGACTATTAAAAAGATTAAATAATAAACGAAAGAAAAAAAGGAGAAAACTTTTAGTAAAATTAATATATTCTTTGTAATTGTTCTTGTATGCTTTTTACTATCTTACCTCCTGTTGTACTATTTGGCTTTGATGATCTTCGCGATTTGGCATTAGATTCCCGCTTTTCATTGACAGAATTAAGCTTTGTATTCATGAGCTCTAATCCATCCAACACGATTAATTCCGCATACGCTTCGCTCTTCAAATCAATTATTAGATTCTCGTAGGGATTATCAGCGATAAATAACCGCACTTGACTTTCGTATTTGCCGATCTCTCGCGGAGTGAATTTTATTTCAAGCGAGACTATTTCCTCGGGCATTAAACGAACTACGATACATCGATCGTTTGATACTGTAATTTAATAGTTTAGCCATGTGTTATGTGAAAGTCATTTATATCACTTCATATAAATTGTATTAAATCTTACTAAATATATCTAGATCAATGTTATTTTATAGAAACTGAGAATTTGTCTGAAAAATAATCTTAGAGAGTTATAAAGATTGCTATACATCAGTATTTTTAAAACCTTTTATTATTTTTATTGAACAATTTTTGTTGAGTAAACCTAAAATATTTCAAATGATTGTAAATTATAAAAACCTACATGAGATATAAAATAACATTGATAAAATCACAAATCTTTCAAGAGATTTTTAATATCTACTCCTACAAATTTTCTTACGAAGATTTTTTTATTTATCTTTTTAATTATTTTTAATTTATAAAAAAAAACTAAAGTAACGATTAACTTCATAATACCAACCACTTGACAAGTTTCTTGTACTCTCGCAAATATTGAGAGTGAAAAGAAAATTTGGATCCTCATAAATCTCGACAATCACTTTAGCTGGTATTACACCAATGTTTTTAAAAGCGAATTTTCTTTCATTAGAATCACCTATAAGCGTGCGACCAAAGTTTAAAACAGCTCGTTTTCGTTTTCCACTCGGTGGTTCAATGATTGTCACTTCTGGCACGCAAGCTTGTCCTATTAGTTTAATAGAAAACTTTTCATCCTTCAAATGCGGGGGAAGTTCGACTGCTATTTCGAAGACCGCGCAGCATGCCTGTAATTATAATTATTTTACATTTATCGAAACAGGTTTTTTTGCACAAACTTATTAAAAATAGAAATTAATGGAATGGGGAGTATGCAAATTATAAATTATCGTTTTGTGAAATGTACGAATAATTATTTCGTTAGTAATCCTTGAATTCGAATAAATCTCTCTTTGTATTATACATTTTTTGCCAATTTCAACATAATATATGTATAATATTGTCATCTTTGAATTAAGATCGCAAAGAAATAAACGTATCGAAAGTTAAGTAATTAAAATCACAAAAATCTATTACATATCGATAGTTTTATTGATAATAATTAATTTAAAGTACGTAGAACAATATTTATACGCATATCACTCGAGGCAATTTTTATATACTTTATTCCAGGCTTTTAATTTGCAATCAGTAAGCAAATTAATTTGAATTGGTGAAAATTCAGTGTGAATATTATAAAGCATTAAGGAAGTTCAGTGGCTACAAAAAATGCAGCCAGTTTCATGAAATTTTAATATGTTGTTCTGGAATGCAAAATAGAATTATGTGAATTTTTTGGGAATTTTTCACCGTCCCGTTTTGAAAAATTCCCAAAAAATTCACATAATTCTATTTTGCATTCCACAACAACATATGGCTGCATTTTTTTGTAGCCACTAAACCTCCTTAATAGAATATTAATCTGAATAACGAATAAGATGTTCGATGCGCGTGGCAACTATTTAATCGATTCGATAATTTTTATGTTACAGAAAATATCAACGCGGGAAGGAGCTTCAGCTTGGCATCGAGGGAACACGAGAGACATCCCGAGCAACCTGAGAGGAGGTGGAGGCCTGGGAGAGGCATCAGGCGCCGGCGGAACAACATGCGGTAAATATAATTAGTTTATACATATTGTGTTTCGCGGAAAGTTTAACCAATCGGTTTTTCAATCAAATAGTAAAGTTAGTCAGAGAGTGGAAATTAAAAAAGAGTTTAATTTTTAAATTTCATTTCAAATTCTTGTGTTCAATAAATAGAGTATACTTTCAAGAAATTAAAGTGATTTTCTTATTAAATTGATTTAACGAAATAAAATATAGAATTCCGTGTTTTACGTTCGGTAATTATTTTTCGAAATACAGACTGTCTCTTTTCTTCCCTGCTCTAATCTGGAATATATGTTTGATTGTTACAGAATCATCATCGTAGCGATCACGTTGCAGATACAGCTCCGCTGCTGCGCATCGGTGTCGGTGAGTTTTAGCGTAGGGAAGCGTGGGGAAATAACTCTTTTTTAATTTCTACTCTGTGATTAACTTATTTACTATTCGATTGAAAAACCGATTGGTTAAACTTTCCGCGAAACACAATATGTATATGAACTAGTTATATTTACCGCATGTTGTTCCGC